TGGTCTCTAGGGAAACAGAAGTGATTCATTGGTTTACTCGAACAAGAAATTAACCCGGTTACTCATTTAGAATATATTAAATATGGCTAGTAACAAAGTAGTTATAAAAGGTTGTTGACCATGACATCTCATGTTCATTTGTTGCTCTCTAAATGCTCTTAATATTATTTATTGAATATTATGATTTTTAAGTTTTAATTGTGTGGCTTCAAGAATATAAATATATATATTTGTTGTTTTGTATCCGTATATTTGAAAAAAAAAAGGTATCTTTCATAAACAGCAGTTTTGAAATTGAACAAAAAAATTTTGAGTTAGCTTCCATCCAAAAATGGAAAACAAAAATTAACAATCTATTATCCACAAAATCTATCAGTTCCATGACAGTGGACTCGAAATAATGCACTTAATAATTATACCCTTTGAAAATAATTTATTAAGATACTGGAATACAATATATACAAATGGTACGTAAACTCGGTCATACTACTTATACTAGATATAGGTACATGGTAAAATTTATTAAAAAAAACTTCAGTAAAAGTATGTAAAACTATGAAAAAACTATATGGTGGCATAGGAATAATTTTTTTCAAGTTTAATATGGCGGCACTATGACGTCATCTATAGAAATATTGTCGAACAACTTGATGTAGGAAGAAACAAAGACGATGTTTGCACAGTTTTAGAATAAAAATTCAAAAATTGAAACTTTTCACCGAGTGCACGTACTTCTTTTTTTTTTATAAATGTATTTTTATTTCATTTGTCTTGAAAATTTCAATTGGAAGTGTTATTTTTTGAACTTTGACATCGAAGTGTTCCTCTTTTACTACAAAAAAAAGTCGAAGATACTATGCTGTTCATTTTTCTGTTCCAGTGAAAAATTGAAAGTGTGAAAGCTGCTCTATGTCATTGTGAGTTAATAACTACTACTTACTCTTCTATTCGGAGTATGTGTTTGTGTTTGTTTTCGGACCTTATTGCAGATGGCCCTAACTAACTTATCGAAGCAGAAAGTGGAATTGTCTGGCCTGACATTATTATATCTGGTTCGGAGACATTTATCTTTTTGGAGAAAACCGATGTCTGGGTTTTTGTGGCATTGAATTGAACCTGGTTACTTTCATCCCAATTCAAAATCACTTTTAGGTCCTTATTGAGATATGCAACCTTCTGCTGCCGGTGAAGATTTGCATTCGCAGCCGATGTCCTGGAAGCCAAATGGAATGACGAGACAAGTATGCTGCTGTCAGCAAAGTAATATATTGGTTTCTTGATTTTTCCCAATAAGCTGCATCAAGACAATCATTTCTGAAAACTTAAGAAGGGTTTCCTTCATGTTTTCCTCATCTGGTATCAAGTAGTTATGAAATTCTTTTATTTTTTCCTTTACGCCATTAGAGGCAGTTTTTCAGTTTGCCGAGCCTAATTTACACTTCATAAGTGGGCTATGTTGTATAATATCGTCAGTTGTTCCGTTTTTGATATAAATAGGAAAGTGATCACTAGAGATTGAGGTGAAATTCCTCCGTCATGTTTTCGACCGTACGACTTTTTTAGTTAGTTCTATCGAAGCCCGAATAGGGTGATCGGCATTGAAATTCCTTGTTCTTATTATAGGGAAAGAAATTTATTGGATAAGATTCTTCAGATCGTTTTTATGCTGGTTAGATGAGTTAGTCCACTATGTGTTACATTTTTTATTTGTATCATATACACTCGATAAAATATCTCTCTGTATTTATATCCTGGACCCGGATGTCACGCAGGTAGCTATAGCAGTCTACGTGGTCATGTTAGATGTAGCCTGGGAATTCTAGGTCTTCTAACTGGGACCACGAATGTGCGGTTGGCTTCTGTTCTTGACTCCGTGCGTATATGTTGTTCCCTGCTTTCGGCAAACAAGTGTTGCCCATCTTTACACTTGGCTACACCGCGCTGATGAGGCCAAGAGCCAGAAACATGTGTCCGCGGTTTGCCCCCCTTTTTGGAGTGTTAAGTCCACTATATGTTACATTTTTTATTTGTATCATACACACTCGATAAAATCTCTCTCTCTCTCTCTCTCTCTCTCTCTCTCTCTATATATATATATATATATATATATATATATATATATATATATATATATATATATATATATATCAAAATATATATATATAT